GACTTCAATGGTGACTTGCTTCATAACAATATCTCCACTTGAGGAACCAACCTCAGTATGATGAACAGGTGGAGGAGGAATCGTTGAAGGAGGAACAGTGGAAGTAATCGTTGAAGGAGGAACGGTGGAAGTGGTAAAACAGCCTGGGGAGGAACAGAAACAGCCATGATTGGCAAAGAAGGAGTCACAGGAACGGAAGTGGCAAAAAAAGACAGGGGTTCTTCATCAGAAACCGGACCAAAATCTTCACTACCAAACCCGCGATCAAAAAGCTGCTCAACAGAATCATGAGCAGCAGCAGGAACATCATCAGAGATCATCACTGGGGCTTCAATAGACTCGGGGAGAGGAATAGAATGGCGGGGGGATGCTTCATCATTAGAGGTAATACGTCTACGAGCCCGCGGCCTTGTTATCAATGAACCCTCATCTTTCTCCTCTTCAGAGTCTTGGCCATCAACGACTTTTCTTTTCGACGAAGAACCCAAAATTATTTCCTGGGCCTTTTCCAAAGAGATACGAGAAGCCGCGATCGCCTCGGCAGTAATCCTTCGAATTGCAAATCCTGATAAAAAGAAGGATTAAAATAAATTCAGAGAAAAAAGCAATATGTGAAATAAATAAAAAAAAACTCTTACCGTGAGTTTTTAATTTCCAACCAAATCGTTGGGAAAGAGCCTTCCAAGATCTACCCTCCATTGGGCAGCATTCAACATTTTTCCTACCCAAACACGAAAATTGGGAATATCATCCACAATTCCCATGGTTGCTGAAAAGGAAAAGGAAAATTAAAATAAATAGTCATCAAAATTAAAGGGAAATATCAGCATGATCTAAGGAAGATACTTGGTTTCTAAGAGACTCTCTATCATTATAGAAGGAAAATTCCGCAGGAATTATCTCCTCTACTAGAGGTTCACGAAGAGGCTCAGAGGACTCCTTACCTCTAGAGGAAGATCTATATGAAACAGAACCTCTGGTTCTAGAAGAAGGGCCAGAACTGGATGAAGACCCTAAATTACGTAGTCCACTACCCCCTCTTCTACTCCTATTAGGAGCAGAAGGAAAGTTGTCAACTATGGATACTTTCCTAGGGTTAGGGTTTGGCGAAGCCATGGCAGTACGAGGAAGGTAAAGAACAAGAATTGAATATTCTAAGAGTTTTACGAGGAAGATGGAAACAAGAATTGAATATTCTGAAAGCTTTATGAAAAAAAGACAAAGGCACAAAACTAAATTTATACTGGGAAGCAACCGTCAAAGGAAAAGGTACAATGATGGAAAGGTCATAATGAGAACTGTTCCTTCGTGATTAGTGAAGCCTTAAAAAGCCTTAAAAGGCGCTACAAAGTTGCAGAGCCAATAAGAGGGTGCCACGTGCAACGAGCATTAAATGAAAGTGACAATTGAAGCATCGATTCTATCATAGCATTAATGGCGGTAAATATTTCCGCTTCAATGAAATCCACTTCCCAAATATTCAATTGATGAATAAATGGCAAGTGGGGGGACTATCTGTATTGGGTAAAACTGAGTTTATGCATATCAAAGTGATGGAAAGATGACATGTCATGACACGTAGGCAGGTTAAAGAATGTTGATGAAACAAAGAGGCACGAGTTGCAACAGGTACGAGCGGAAGCACAAGAAGAGGCACGAGCAAATATTCAAAAGACTCGTTTCTCGTACCTATTTAAGTCTAAAAGCTGAGAAGAATGAACCTGACAACACAGGAGAGCCCAGATACATCATTTAATAAGCATTAAATACTAAAAACGTTAGAGGATCTGTATTAAATTGCAATAATTATGTAACGTAGCATTTAATGCCTTTAATCGTCCATAATGACCTTATTATGACAAAGGCAAAATGTATAACTTAAAAATAGCTATAAAAGGGATAAGACTGATCATTTCTAGACACACAATATCATCTGAATATACTGGTTTACTTTGTTTTCTGCTATCTATCGGTTATCAAAATCCATTTCTTTTATTCATTTCCGATTATCAGTAACCCGAGTTCTTCTAAAAATAAAGCTTTGACTGAAATCCCATTTTTCGGTTAAACAGGCATAAAGATAGTTATTTCATATATCATCCTGTGAGAATGTTAATGGAATATTACAGAAGGATGAAGTGAGCCAAACATATTAGACTGAGGATTCTCAATTTAGTTATCGAAATGGGGTTAACCACTTTTTTTAAGATGCTATTTTAAACGCAAATTTCTCATGTATATGGAGTGATAAAAAGTGATGTTTATATTTAAATAAATTACATAATCTTTCAAATTTGTTATCTACAAAAGCGACAATAGTGATAAGAGTGTGAGATTCATATATTTAACAGATGAAATACGTCTACGAATTTCTATGATAATAATTGAACTGCCATAGCCAAACTTTAGACTTGAGGTCGAACTTCAAACAATCGTGATAGTTTTAACTTTAGACACGACTGTCTTAAATTTAAATAAATTGCAAATATTGGCCATTTTTTAAATAACGGCCTAAAAGGCTAAAAGCGGCCATCTGTACACTTCCACCAATTAAGTTGGAGCTAGGGGTGTTCGTCGGTCGATACGGTACGGTATTTAGACATTTCGATTTGGTATTTTCGATATTTGGTTTCTTAAAATGCTATACCAATACCGTACCTAATTAAACTCGGTATGGTTAGGTTTTTCTCCTTTCGGTTTATTCGGTTCGGTAACTTCGGTTTATTCGGTTTGAATACTAACTAGTACATAGAGTCATAGACTGTAATATTCTTAATTAAAGTACAAAAGTGCAAAACTAAAAATGTTTGTTGACAAAAGTTTTGTCCAAAACCAGCAAATATCAATCCAGAGAGAAAAAACTGTACATAAAGAAATAAATTTGATCATTAGAAATGTCTTGTTACTTGCTTAGAATTGATTGATAAACTTAGAGAATAAAGAAAAACAAATTTTAGATTTTTTATATTTATGATACAATTAATAATATGTGTATTGTGCAATATAATATATATTCCGGTACGGTATCGGTATTTCGGTATTTCATTTTAAAATATCAAATATCATGCCTAATACCAATTTTTTAAAAAACTTAAACCAAATACCATACCGAATACCAAAATATCGAATACCAAATACCAAATATTCGGTTTGATATGGTAATTCGGTATTTACCAAATTATGCACAACCCTAGTTGGAGCAGTTAAGTTAAAAGGGCTCATTTGTTATTTTAGACACACAGAAACACTAAGTGGGCATTTGGACATTAGAGTTCTTAAATTTTAAAAAAAGTAAAACAATTTCTAAGTAACAATAGTATTTAAAAATTAGAGTTGTGTTTGGACATGAATACATTAGGGTGCTTTAGCGATGCTTGAAGGCTAACGGGGTCCCAGTAGCCTACGTTAGGGTGACTAAGGACATGTATGATGAAGCTAAGACTCGGGGTTAGGGTAGCGGGAGGAGACTCGGGACATTTTCCGGTTATGAAGGGGTTGCACCAGGGATCGACTCTTAGTCCGTTCCTATTTTTCTTGCGATGTATGCATTAACGAGACACATTCAAGATGAGGTGCCATGGTGTATGTTATTTGCTGATGAGATAGTTTTAATTGACGAGACGTGGGGTGGTGTCAACGAGAGGCTGGAGGTTTGGAGGCAGACCCTAGAATCTAAGGGTTTCAAGTTGAGCAGGACCAAGACGGAATACTTGGAGTGCAAGTTCAGCAACGGTACCCAGGAAGGGAATATGGAGGCGAGGCTTGATACGCAAGTCATTCCCAAGAGAGGAAGTTTCAAGTATCTTGGATCTATAATATAAGATAACAGGGAGATTGATGAAGATTCCACGCATCGTATCGGAGCAGGATGGATGAAGTGGAGGCTCGCTTTCGGTGTCATGTGTGAAAGATTGCACCGCTGATACTTAAAAGGTAAGTTCTACCAGATTGTAGTTAGACCGACTATGTTGTATGCAACAGAGTGTTAGCCGGTCAAGAACGCTCATACCCAGAAGCTAAAAGTAGCTGTGATGAGGATGTTGAGGTGGATGTGTGGGCATACCCGGTTGGATAAGATTAGGAATGAAGTTATTCGGAAAAATGTGGGAGTGACCCATGTGGAGGATAAGATGCGGGAGGCGAGGTTGAGATGGTTCGGACATGTTAAGAGGAGAAGTATAGAAGCCCCAGTTAGAAGGTGCGAGCGGTTAGCCTCAGTGGGTAGCAGGAGGGGTAGAGGTATGCCTAAGAAGTCTTGGGGAGAGGTTATTAGGCGGGACACGGCGCAGCTGGAGCTGACTAAGGACATGACCCTAGACAGGAGGATGTGGAGGTCAAAGATTAGGATAAAAGGTTCGTAGGCAGTCGAGCGTTTCTCTTTGTCTTACTCAGTTTGCTAGCATTAGTGTTAGTATGATATCTTTTATCCATAGATGGCTTTTACTACCTAGAGTTTGACTGCATTCTTGGATTCGATCTTATTTCATCTTGCTGTTATTCCTATTTGTTGCAATTACCTTTTCTTTTTCAGTCGTTCTCTAGCCGAGGGTCTATCGGAAACAACCTCTCTGCCCTTCCAGGGGTAGGGGTAAGGCTCTATATATCTCACCCTCCCCAGACCCCACTTGTGGGAAACTACTGGGTTTGTTGTTGTTCTTGTTGTTGTTGTTTGGACATGAATAGAATTTGGAGCTGTTTTTGCATTTTTGTGAGTGCTTTGAAGTGAAAATTTTGAAAAATAGTTTTTTAGAGTTTTTTCAAATTCCGAAAAATTTCGAAAATCAACATCAAGTGAAATTTGAAATTTTCATGGCTAATTACTAATATGGAAAAATGTAAAAATTTAGCGGAAAAAAGTGAATTTTTTATGGACAAACGGGCTAAATCTCCACATTTCAAAATCTACAAAGCACCATTTAGAAAAAATTCCCATTTACACACACGTCCCTCTCCCTCCCTCCTTTTTTTTTTTCCTTCCTTTCTCGAATTTGGCGCGTAAATCCACCATTGACATATCTAGGGCAAAACTCATCACTTCAATTTTCAAAATCCACAAAATGGAAACCTTCAAAGAGCAACTCGAGCAGATACACACTTTTTTATCATCAAATAAACCGTTGGCTTACTCGACGCTGCTTCATCTCCAGCAACAATCCGGCACTGACTCTTCTTTCGTTCAATTGCTCGCTGATTCATCTTCTATCATCGTGCCCTATATTCTCGCCGACGTATCAGATAACGATGAGGAAATGTGAGTTCCTTCTAACCATCTTTTCAAATAGTTTAAGTTCTATTTAATGACAGTGTAAAAAGTAGAATCATGTCACTTATTAAATAATTACAGCTTATTCTCTTGATAACTATTAGTCTATTACTATATCGTTCCATTTTATGTGATGTTGTTTGACAAGGCACGAAGCTTAAGAGAGAAACGAAGAATGACTTTTGAGATTTATTGTCTAAAACAAATCGTAGATATTAGTTTGAGAAGTGTACAGTTAAACTGTTTCTAATTATAGAAAAGTGTTGTTCTTTGTGGGGCATACTAAAAAAGAAAGTGAATCAAATAAATCGTGCTAGAGGGAGTGATTATTAATTCGATTAAAATGATAACTAAACTGCTATTACTGTACAGGATTTGCTGATAGTGTAAAACAATTTTTATTGTCGGTTATTTAACTTAAAACCCATTTCAAAAGAATTCAATTTGTAGACTGACATTGATGATAATAATTGTTGTAATTTACATTTAAAATGTGATTTAACGCGTTATAAGAGGTTACTGGTCACACATATTGTAGACATGTTACCTGTAATTGATTTCCAAGTAACTTGATAATGTTTATTTTAGTGAATTTTTTTTATCACTAACTAACTGTAGCAGGTAGTTACCATCCTTTTCAGGTTTAGCAAACTACACTTACTACAGATGGTTACTTCTACTTGGTTTCTAAGTGATCTGTTAATTTAAATTTTTTTCATCTGTCTACAAAAATAGAAACCTTTATTTCAAAATTATCTCTTTGCTTTGGAAATTTCAGGAACTGATTCTGGTTTTGCTTTTTTGTTATGTCTCCTCAAAATTTTAGTGCTGCTCAGGCTTTGAAGTGCTTGGGATTTATGATTTATCACCCATCTATAGTTGGCTCAATCGAAGGTTCTTTCTTTTGCCCTTATTTATGGTTTTGGTATTCTTTGCTTTTGGCTTATAAGATTCCCTTGTAGTTGTCCATTTGACTCTCAAAGGAGGCATCCTAAGTTAGTCCCTCAGTCTCAAAATGTACGGCACTTTATGCTTTGCAAGGATCAAATTGACCAATTGTTGGAGTAAAAATTAGATATGGATAGATTTATCATTTGAAAACGAAATTTAGACTTTTAGCAGCCACACACACACTCAAAAAAAAAAAATTGGTTGCACGTTGAGTTCTTGCTCAAATTTTTTTGAAGAAATAAAGCAGGATGAATGTGATGAAGTTAAAGAGTATGTCTAAAGAATGAAAGTATGTATTTTGAAAAATAATAAACATGCCACAAACACAAATGTGAAGGAAATAGTTTTTTTTTCTTCCTTTTTTATGTCATTCATACGAGGCCACATGTTTAAGTCCAAGTTATTCATTTACTGCTACTGTACAAGTACACGTCTCGGGGAAGATCCAAAATTCTGGAGGTAACGTAGCTTCGATGACTAAATGTAGGTGACAATGCCACGGCTATTGTTGATTCTCTTGTTGAGGTTATTACGACCACCAAGATTAAGGTACTCTGAACTTCTTGAGAGGCAACAAAATAGTGTACTTGAGACAACATTTGCTAAGAAATATGCTTGGGAAATTTGACTTAACTATTGCCAATTGCAGTCTGTTTGCAACTTGGGTGTCTGGTGTATATCAATGCAGCAGTTCAAGTCTTCGCTTTTGGATGCACATTTCCAGTCTTTGCTGAGGGCAATTACTTATGCCCTTGACAATCCTATTGGTTCTCTTTCAATCACATTTGAGGCTATGCAGGTATATCCAAATTTATTGTGCGATAATCTGTCTAACCTAATACTGTGTAAAGTCTGGATCTTGTCAAAGAGTAGGAGTTCAAACTCTCTTGTCTACTCTCCACAATATCATATAATGAGTAAAGAAATGAAGGGAGAATTGCTATATTTTGTACCCGAATAGTAATCAGAATTGCAAATTCAAAAAAGTATTCTCTACTGGACTCCTCTTTGTGCACCTTTTGTCTATAAGTCAAATGCACTACAAGATATTTTGGAATTTTTTCTCCTGATTATTCTCTGTAATTATACTGCTATAGGCTGTAATGAAGTTGGCGAGTACGTCAGCTCAAAATATGAGAGCCATGTCAAACATATGGGCTCCTCCAGTTTATAGAAGACTTATCAGCAGTGATAAAAGGGAAAGAGACATGTCAGAACGTTGTTTATTGAAAGTCTCTAACGTGATATGTCCTCCACCAGTAAATCTCTCAAAGGTAGCAGATGATGCTGTATTTCTTATTTGCGTTATGCACTTTGTTTCTTATGCTTCCTGAGGAGATGAAAAAAGAATTGCTTCTTTTGTATTATGTATTTCAACTTAATGTCCAAAAACAAAAAGCTATCACCTCATTGGGTCAACTATATGAATCCTGACTAACCATATTTCTCCATTTAAGCTCATCTCATGCTAAATTATTATACAAAATACAACTAAAAATTAAAAAGTACTAGAAGTTCTCTATATTTTGTACCATCATATAAATCTCTAGCAGGGGTAAAAGACTCCTAGAAAGCATAGGACCTGAAGGAAAACGTACGAACATGGTTAAAAACTTAAAATATATTCACAACTAATTTTTACCGCCTACACAAATATTTTTCTTCCATTGTGCCCTTGAACGGGTATGTTTCCAATTTACTAATTTTTGGTGTTTTGAAGAATTCTGCATGAATAAGGATCCATGTAACACAATAAAAAATGCATATCTAGAATAGGAGGCATTAATTGCCTGTTGATATCTGTTTATTAGTATAGGGCTAAGAGCCTATGTTATTAGTATAGGGATCCATGATAAGAGCCTATTATCCAAAGGGTTGTTGTGGTGGAATGATAGTTTAAGGTAGCAGCGGAAAGATGTAATTGGGTTAAAATTTGGGTTTCAGAATTATGGGGACACAGCTAATACAAGTACACCACATGGATGTGCTTTCTAGAGACATATAAACTGTTTGTTGGTGAAATTTCAAGAGCTTATTGGGTTAAAAATTGGGAATGGGAGAAGATATAAATTATGGGAAGACAAATGGTTTTTGGAGAACACTAGCTGCCTCTTTCCTGATTGTACAGCATCGTGCTCAACAAAAATTGTGTTATAGAGAGACAATTCCTTTATGCATAATGTTGAGCAATTGTCTAGAGAGAAACCAATGATGCTTTGGTGGAAAGGGGGGAAATTTCTGCTTTGTAAATAATAGGTGTATCCTATGCTTAGAACTCTGTAAAGTTGAGTCTAGTTATGACCCTGATGCTATTCTGGAGTTACTGGAGACCTTGCAGATTCAAAAGATTCCTTCTTGCTTATGTTTGTGCCTGTTCAGTACTAGCTTGGTATTGAATGCTATTATAAATAAAATTACGTTTTACCTATCAAAAAAAGGGGGTATAGGGATCAAGCAGAATCCTCCTTCACCCAAAACCCTTATCATTAAAGAAAGAATTAGAAAAGAAAAAACCGAGGAAAAAAAGAAGATAAAATGGCTATAGTTCATGTTAAATATTAGGTGACATATTTTATTGATTTTTATGAAACAGGCCCTTGCCATAGAGTTGAAGAAAACTTTGCTTTTGACAATGGAGGAGCTACTGAACCAAGGCCTGAAGATTCAAACTCTACTAGCATGGGGATGGTTTATGCGTCTAGTTGGACCTTATGGAATGAAATATAAGTATTTGGTAAACAAATTGCTTAAAATTACAGAACAAACTTTTCCAGACCTTGATCCACAGATTCAGAGTGCTTCACTGGTACGCTATTCATTCATCTAAATTTGGCACATCCTTTATATCACCTCCAGAGAATTTGATGCAACTTCAAGTTAAGCAAAAGTACTTTCCTAGTATTTGACATTACGGGATTCAATAGCCGCTGGTTTTTCATGGGATGCTCCAATCCATGCTCATAAGTATTCCTTGCTGAAAAAGCTGTAGTTTGTTTGCACTATGAATGCTGCATCATTGGCACCATCAATATATCTACCAGACTCTTAACTTTTTTGTTTTTTGGATAGGTACCAGACTCTTAATTTTAAAATGATCATATCAACCTTATGTGATGTTGATATCCTTGCTTAGGATTGTTGAATATTGACATAACTTCAATGAACATTGATTAGCATCTTACACATGTTCTGGTGTTATCAGTATAAGTGTAAAAGTGTCCGACCAAAATTTCTGCATTATCTATCTAGCTGGAAATTTCAGTTCTTACAGTCATCTCTGAGATACCAAGAGGCTAAATCTCCTTCCTTTTAACCTTTTCTTAATACAGCTTCTTTAGTTAAATGAATTCTTCCTTCCCCGGACCCCGCGCATAGCGGGAGCTTAGTGCACGGGGCTGCCCTTTATAAGTAATAGAAAAGGCTTATTAAAATGAACCATTAAGAAATAAATTTCTTCTGATTTTGTTAGATTTTGCTTGCTTGAAATCACAGAAAAGACCTGTTAAAACGAACCAACTTAAATAGTGCTTTGACCAAGTTACAAATTGCATTTTCATCCATGAAAAATTGATTTGAGGGAGAATTCTAGGATATTTTCCTGTTAAAAGAGATCAGATTTGTCAATTTAATTAAAAAAATCTTTTAAACTCACGATAACTTAATGCAAATTCATTTATGAATAATTGATTTGAGGGAGAATCTAGGATATTATCCCGATAACAGGGATCAACTTTGTCAATTTAACTTTAAAATTCTTTTAATCTTACGAGATTAATCTGAAGTGTGTATTCAGTTTTGTATTGCTTCATTGTATGCCAATTGTATTTTGAGTGTCATATTAAATGTTTGATNTGTATATCCATGTGAAAATTAGGGGATATAATTTCTTTTTTTTGAGAAGGTAACATTTGTTGCATATATATTAATTGTATCAAAACAGGTATGGTTAACCATAATTACAAGGGGTGGTACAGGAAGATTCTTAAGTCCTTACAAGGATCCTAAAACATCAACAAAAGATTCTGGATCTTCCATGTACTCTTGCTTACACCAAAAATAAAAAAGAGCTAAACAATGCATTTTCATCCTCTAACTGCTCAATTTGTTGTAAGTTCCAAGAATTTTTTGTCTTCATTGCAGGAAGTTCAGCTCATTGTGCCATTTTTTCTAATTGCTTCTCTTTTTTATTTAAAGTTAAAAAACGGAAAATAAAGCGCCTCCACTAACTTAACTTATGAATAATTGGAGGATATTTAAAGTTAAAATGTATGTCGGATTCTGCAGATTGCCTGGGAATGTTTCATTGATGCTTTAATCTGCTTGACACTTCATGATCCTGAAAGCAATGCACTTGTAAAGAATTCTGCGGACCAAACTGTATTCAAGGGAAACAATCCAACTGAAGCTGATGGGTTTTCCAAGAAGATCAAACTTGTGATGACGCCCCTGATAGGAATCATGTCAAGTAATTGTGATGCATCTGTCCATGTATCCTGCCTGAATACATGGTCTTATCTTCTGTATAAGCTCGACAAGTTAGCTAGCTCTCATTCAGTGGTTAAAACAGTTTGGGAGCCCATCTTGGAAGTCGTCATCAAGGTTGGACCTGTCAATAAAAATATATGGTCGTGGAGATTCTGCATTGAGCTGCTTGATAATTTCGTTTCAGCAGGAAACAAAAATGTAAATAGTAAGTTAACCGACCAGAAGGCTGATCGGTTATCTAAAAGTTTCATAATGAAACTTCCAGAATCTGCAAAATGCTCATGGAAGTATCATCCAATTAAATGGTCACCTTTGGATCTTGGAAATTTGGAGTTTTTCCTAAACATGATTCACGGTGTGATCATGCAAGGGTCCATTATTACTCTGTCCCATGAAGTCAGGACAGTGACATGCGGTGCTGCCTCAAGTTTGTTCCAATCTCTTCTGAGATCTGTTAAACATTTGTTGAAATCTGACCTTATAACTTATGACGAGGTTATCTTATCTTTGAATATGATGTTTAAGTTTTTGAAGAGTGTATATGAGAGTATGCATTCAAGGGATGGTGGTATAGATGATTTGCAATCGCTTCTACTTCAGCTTCTGGAGGCTTTTGTTGAAGAATTAGAACCATCAACTTTGCAATCCCCTCTTTACAAGGTGGCACTAGATCTAAAAAATCTTGAGAAGTCAGAACCAGTCTATAGATTCAAAAGTGCAAAGATACCAGATATCTGCTTTATGAATTATAAGGAGAAGGTATCACCAGTTGCTTGTATAACTTTGCTCTATTTCCATTCAGTAACCAAGTCAACGTTGAAAGCACCTGATTATGATATAGTCGAATGCATACACAAATTTGTGAAGCTTTTGCTCTCCTCATACGAGCCTTTGGAAATTCTCCATCTCTTTGTTAGTTTACTATACAGAGAGAAGATGTCTCGTTGCTTTGAGATCTGGGTAGCTCTGGCAAACTGTCTGAAAGATTACATAGATAGTAATAGCTTTCTCTCACATTTCAAATTGCAGCCGGATAGTCCTGGTTATGCGACAATAATACATTTCCTATGCTATCCATTTGCTGCATACTCTTGCCCTAAGGTGCATCTCAAGCTTCAGCATGTAATTGAAGCATGGATATCACTTTATATTTCTCTTAGTCAGGCATCGGAAAATGGTTATCCTACTCTTACTGAGGACCTATTCTCGATGCTCTGTTCATATTTCAATAAAGAATTGACTCAGTCAAGTGTAAAGGGTCAGGATATCGATGTTCTTTTATTGTTTGGAGAAGCAATGATATGTGCTGTAGAACAAGCTTCTTTGACAGCAAAATCTAATGCTAAAGAGAGCGAAAGCCGGAGATCCTGCAAAATCAAGAGGAGCTTGGAATTCGCGTCCTGGTGAGCAACATGATATTGCAAAATTTCCACTTACAAAAGCAATTACCTATCTCACTCTTGAGATTAGCTGGTGGTTTAGAATATTTGAGAAGTAAAAGAAGGCCTCCTAATAGGTCAAAAATATTGAATCATTCTATTTTAAAGGTAGAACCAGCAAAATATCGTTTAACTTTTCTACCTATAACTATTCTGATCCTATTTTAAAATTGCTTGCTCAATTGAAAACTTTAGCACTTCAGAATTCATAAAAAATTTGCTGCTGCAATTGTAAGCTCGGCATGTAGCATGATTTGTTTGAAGCACTGAAGTGCTTCATAAAGAATAATTGGAGTTTTGACAGCCTTATTTTGATTGAAAACTCTATTTGGCATTTGCCCCTATCAATTTGTTGAAGTAAATGACCTTGCTTTCCTGAGTAGAAATCAACAACCTTATAATGTCTGAGTAAAAGTTGTTAATGGCATCCTTGGTAATTGTCACTCAAATTAAATATGTTGCTAGAGTCTTCCAGTGATATGAAAGAGCATTTTCATGTCCCATTTCTTTAGAAAGAGTCTGTTGTCGATCAATTGACTTGAGCAAGGAAACAGTTGAAAAAAGAATAGGAGATCAAAAATTGCTTACATTTGATGCCATTCTTTATTTATTTGATAATTGGAAAAAAACTGTGGAGTAAGCTTACATAATCTTTATTCTGCTTGTACTTCAAGTCTCCACATGTTTCTTATGCGTCCACTGCTTCTGCAGCTTCATGAAGCTATCTAGGGTAAAGGATGAAACTAATCTATCAACCAGCCTCATCGAAACAAGGTAATGACTCTTCGTGTCTTACTAGTTTCTTCAAATTATTTATAGCATTCTGCTAACTATGAGAGTTTCAGGCTGCTATCGTCACTGATGCACTTCGTTGGCTGCTTGCGCTTGCAGAAGGATGTAACATTATTCATTGAGGTTTGTACTTAGACTGGCTTCTATCTCTACAGCTATGGTGCCATTAGATCTTTGTCTTGAGGTGGAAAATATATATGAACTATTAGCTTAAACTATGTTGATATGTTATGCTCAAATTGTAAAGAGCCTTTGCAGTATCATTCCATCTTCTAATTATCTCTCCCATATGTTTGCCATCTCTATCGATCGTATTATTAGAAGGGAAACAGAGACGATTAGCAGCAGTATAGATCCATTACTTAATCTGTTTTCTTTTTTCCCCTTTCTAATAATACAGAGGTTTAATTTCTTTACCACTTCTTCTCATCAGATCATGACCAGTTCATTGCTTTTGTGGCTCTCACATCTTGAAGCTCAAGACAGTAACTTCAAAGATCAAGTTCAACAGTTATGGATTCAAACGCTGAACTGTTTGCAGAAAATGCGACCAATAATAGAATTCAATTCCTCTTTTCTTCAGCTCCAGGAGCCTCTTCTAGAGAAAACTCTTGATCACCCAGATCCCATCATTTCCAACTCTACTGTTAACTTCTGGAATTCTACATATGGAGAACAGATCAAGTTAGATTACCCTCATAGCTTACTTCCAATCCTGGACAAGCTGTCAAGGAAAGGAAAAATAAAACTCTGCAAAAAGCGCCTGTCGCCCAATGGTAAAACGAGTTCTGAGGTAGATAAAGTTACAGCTCCAAATAGATACAAGGTGCCAACAACACTGCGTAGCTGCTCAAAACGAGTTGAACTCTTGGGGAACGCAGCTAATAGTTCGGAGGGAAATGACAGAATTTATCCAAAGTCAAAACGAAGGCATACTGAGCTGACAGAACATCAAAAAGAAGTGAGAAGAGCACAGCAAGGTCGATCAATGGATTGTAGTGGACATGGTCCAGGAATCAGGACATATACCAGTGTTGATTTCTCTCAAGGAAATGAAGAATCACAAGAAAGCCAGGACGTTAGAGATGCAGATTCTATTTTGGAAATGTTGCGCAAAGTTAATTAAAATTTGCATTTTAACTTTATGCTATCTTGTAACTTTTACAATACCGCTTGTATATATGTACTATTGCCTTGAGCCGAGGGTCTATCGAAAACAGCCTCTCTACGTGTTCCAGGTAGGGGTAAGGCTGTGTACACACTACCTTCTCTAGACCCCACTTGGGGGAATACACTTTTGTTGGTGCTTGTATATATGTATTCAGGGGCGGAGCTAGCCTTTGAGTTATGGGTTCAGTCGAGCCTAGTAACTTTGGTTCAATTCTTGTATTTGTCTTGAGAAATCAATTAAATATGTACTAATTGTTAATTTAGAACCTAGTTACTTAAAAGAACTAGAATCCCGAATACATAAACTTCTACGGCCTCTCCGCCTCTACATGTATTTTAATCTTCTTCGTCTCTAATGCTGCTTCATTCTGGTGCTGACTGTTTATTCTTTTCCCTGTACATTCTTTTGTTAAGAGTTTATGCAATGAGGTGTGGTGTTGTGTTTCTTCGTAAGAATCTGCTATTAAGAGCAGCATCATTCTTTAATCATGTGTTGTCCTGTTAAAAAATTTCAGCCTGAGATTTTCTTGAACTTTTAGGTGGTCTTTCCTGAGTTCCTACGTATCTGAAGGTGAAGAGTTCTGATGTTTTGCTTTAATCAATTGGTTTTTTCAGGACTTATAAAGTTTTGAAGATTGCATTCATAAAATAAGGGTATGGAATATACAAAATAAATAACTGCAATCACAAAATAAATATGAGAAAATTATTCCATGGATAAATGTTATGTATAACTCTAACTCTCTAAGCATCCCTTGATTCTTGTCTTCAAATTATAGAATATAAGCTAAACTATTCTTTCTCAAATTGCTCTAGTACGATGGACCTAAGGAGAGGGGTACGTGGAGAAAATACAACATGAAAAGAGTTTGCTATGAAGTCATTGCTATGAAACTTGATACTAATATTAAATTAAAATAAATTATCGATTTAAATATCTCAAGTTTTGTTGTCTTGTTCCATGTGTATGATTAATCAAGTATAATATTCAATAAATGTGTAATATCAATATATTCAAAACATCAAATTTTTTTATTCGAAGAGACTTTTTGGGTAAGTAATATATTCGCTTTTGAAGTTGATTAAGTAAACTTTTTCTACCTTATGCATTCAGCTGAAATCTATCAGTTCGATTAATAGAATTCATATAAAATTTCCATTATGAAGTGTAAAGATCATATTAATAATACAAGATGACGATGTTTGCAAAAATGTGACTTAATGATCAATATAAGTGAGAGAGAATTACAAAGTCTCAAGTTCATGATGTCGATATACATATTGTTATTTGAAACTTGTAATTCTTATTATAGTCAGTTGATCAAGTTGACTTTTTCTACCTTATGCATTCAATATATGAAATCGATTAGTCTGATTAGTAGTATTCATACAAAATCACCATTATGGAGTAGAAGATTAATATAATAATATAACATGACGATGTTTACAAAAGTACGACATAGTGAATAATAAAGATGATAATATTTACAAAAATATAATGTAGCGATTAACAAAAAAAATCATAAAGTCTCAGGTTCAATACCTCGTTTCGGGTTGACTCCTTAATACTCCAATTTCCAACTCCCACCATAACTCCAATAAACTCTTTTTAAAACTTCCTAATGTTGGAGTATATTGTTCTTTTTTCCAAATATTGTTTTCAATTTTCATTTTGTTTTAATTCTGAAAACAGCAACCCTATAGTATACTGAAAGTGTAAAACAATTCCCCCCTTCTCTCTCTTTCTAGATTTTCTCTCTCTATCCGAATTCTCCCATTTGGAAAAATCACTCTTTTTCTCTCTCTAAATCCAACGCATCGCAATCGATACATACATATATATATATATACCAATTTCATTGCGAGCCCTAGGGTTTTTATATCTGAATTTCAGATTCAAAACTTAGGGTTTTGGATTTGTTACAGTTCGTTTGATTTTGTGGATCTGTAGGATTTTTGAATGGATACGACGTCGTTAGCGATTAACAGAGATGCTGCTCCTTCTTCGACGACGTCCTCCGCGCCGGAGGACGATGGCGCACTCTCCGTCAACTCAGGACTTGCGAAGGAGGCTGCGTTGCTGTTCCAGTCGGGGAAATTCGCCGATTGTTGTAGAGTTTTGCATCAACTGTTGCAGAAAAAGGAACGCGATCCTAAAGTGAGTATTCTTTCTTTTTTGCTTTTTGCATTTTGTAGCTTTTTACATTTCTAGCGGTTTTGGTGTATTGATGACTCTAATTTTTAAGTGATATACGGTTATTTTTTGTTTTCTCTCTTGAGTATCTTTTATTGAATTGATTGCTTCGAGCTCAATTTGTTTTTCAAGTTCAAATTCGATTCAAATTTTAATAAATTTTAGTTAATATAACATTTTTAATAATTATGTTTATTATTCTTCCCATCTGCCTAAGCCTTCGTGGGCAAAGTTATACAGTACCTGTACCTGTGTTGTTGTGAGGTAGCTAGTATCCGGTGGAATAGTCGAGCTATGCGCAAGCTGGCTAGGATACCAGTATCATAAAAAAATTATGTTTATTAACCTTAACTAACAGAAAGGTTGTCTCATAAATGGCCGGTGCCTTAATAGGTTTTTCTTGTTTCCATCTCTTAAGATGCTATAGAGTTGAATAAAAATATGTTTATGGCCCTTTCTAGTTGGTGGAAATTGTTTCTGTGGAATACTGGGTTGATAATTGAGGATTTTTTGATAGGTGGGGAGTTAAATGAGTTCAGTGAAATGAGCCATATGTGGATTTGTTGGAAGTTGGTTTTGGAATATTTAAACCGGCATTGTGGATCTAATTCGTTTTAATTGCTCTGAACTCATTGCACAATAGGTAGTACTTGCTTTGGAATATGAATTATTGGTTTGGGTTGTTGGGAAGAACAAGGGTTGCTGCAGCAGAGGTATTTAAGGTGTTTATTATAACTGGGATAAATGGAGTATGCTACAGCCTGAATTTAGTTTTTGGAACACAACAATGAGCCCAACATAGATACTTGCACTTGATCTTTGGAGAAAAAAATGAAATATATCTTGTATTTATCAATTACCGGATAGGTGTAGATATGTTTAAGAGAAGGGACATTGGTTAATTTCCGCTTTGTGGGGGTCAAGTATTTCATATTCATTCTGAACTAATGAGTCCATTAATAAGTCTACATTTGACCATGTCCTATGTAATCATTTAAATGTGCACCAGTTTGTAGACATATACTGATTGAAAGTACTAAAAGGAGATGAGCGAAGCTTAAAATCACAGAGAAAAGTTGTTTGGTAGACCTACGATCAATAAAAAATGTGAAATCAGCTATGTAGACGATATAAACTAGTTGGGGCCTAGTTGCTGTTCGTACACTTACGTTAGGTTTGAATAGAGATAAGCACAAATCCTTGAGAATCTCTAATTTGCAGTAAAAGACAAAGCATTTGCTACCATTGGAATTTCTAAAATGGGCTGAGTAGAGCATGATGCATATAGAGAGATCGTAATGCTGATCCTGAGTCACTTGAGATTTAGGCATAGTTGATTTTGGTGTTATACGCAGCATAATCATGTTGATCGAATTATCAAGCTGTTGGATTTGTTAATATTTCTTCTTGCTTTGGTTTCATGATGACGTTTCATTGTTTTCACTTTTAACTCATCGATTCTTTATCTATGTTGTCCTTTGCTCCTCATGCTCTAGGTTCTACATAACATTGCCATTGCTGAGAACTTTCAAGATGGTTGCTCCAATCCTAAGAAGCTGATTGAAGAACTTAATAATGCTAAGGTACGTAAAGCTAGCATTGAGGTATAGTAGGCTGATTGTTCATCAGTGTCATGGTTGTGGTACTGTTTGTTTGCTCCTTTTATTTATTTTGAGATGGTTTTGTATTTTCTGTGAGCTTGATTTGTTCTGCAGAAATTCACATGTTACATGCTTTGGCATTTTAAATGCAAAGGTAATACCTGTTTGTATCTCTTTATGTACGTATGAACCTCCACTGGTTTAGGCCAGTCATAAAGCCTAAAGGATATTTAGGAATATAATTAATTGGGGCCAGTGCACCCCGCTGAGTCAAAAAACTTTCTGAATGTAGGGGGTTGAACCACCCTTGTCGTGAAATATTAATTTCATGTTGAACACTGTGAATTATGTGTACGATACTCCAAATTCGGGGGGGGGGGGGTCAAAGAGTTATAAAAAACGTTAGTGGCGGAAAAAAGGGGTGAATGAAGCATGTGTCACTGAATTGAATTTGATCTATATTCTTTTTTTATAACCCAAAAAAAGTAATTTAATCCATTGGAGTGGGAAAACTCCAAGTAGATAGACCTGCAAGAAATTGTGGCATCGTTCCAACAGATCAAATTACTACTGTTACCTATAATAAGGATCAGATTACTACTGTTATTTGTAAAAGCCTTGATCTAAGTTTGGCATACAAAGGAGATTATAAAGCTTCTTCACTCGTAGAGATACAGAATCAGAGCTAGATGTAAAAATCGACCGACTTTCGCTTTCATTTTCTTTTTTGACAAGGTATTGGCCTTTTATTTTCTTTCGAAAGAGATTTTCATTTTAAAACTTCTTGTTCAAGGATGCGACACGACTGAGGAGCTACAGCCTTAGTTTCTCGTTTTGGTGTGCATAGGACTAGTCTGGTAGTTATAAAGTTAAAATGTAACAGAAGTAAGGATGTACTTCCTCTATTCCAAGTTGTATGTTTGAACCAGTTGGATTATCTTCTTAATCTCCATTCTAGTCAAACTTTGTTAACACAGGACAGCCTGGTGGACTAATATAAGGAATGATCAGATAAATTGGTCTTTGTGTATTCCATTCATGAAATATTCAATGTTGTCTAAGTGGTTGAGAACAAGATTCACCTAATGTAGTTACTTATTTTTGTTGATTTATGCTTCTTGGAAATAATTCAACTTTTCTGTTGAAAAGGTTCTGTAATTCCTTAGTTGATAGCATCCCCCATGAAGATGGTCCTTTTATATTTAGTGCACTTATGACTAGCAGCAGTAAGGAGTTTAATGCCTCAATTATATTTTTCTTCTTCTTTAAGTGATTAAAATATTGACTTCCCGTACAGGCTAAAACCACAATGGTTGTTATTTGCTTATGGTTATTGTTCTGCCTAAATCGTGGATGTCTTCCTTTTACCTTCTCTCAGTGAAGTTGATTTCTGTATTTTCTTTATCCGTTTCTTCTTAGAGATATTTTCGTCTATTGGTTTGATGCTTGTGGTGGCACCTTGGTTCCATTCTTGTGCGAATTTTCTTTTTTACCTGAGAGCTATCTAGCAGGAAAGGGGAGCATTTGACTCGGTTAATCTAATTCTAAATGTGTGGTATTAGAGTAGCTCAAAAATTGCTCTTTCTCAGTTATTCATTTTACTTCTCTCTTTCTGACTACTTTGGCTGTTATAATTCTTAATGTAGTATTATAACTGTTCTTAGCTGGTCTTATTTCCGTGTCCTGATACATTATTATTGCTTTCAATGTTTAGAAAAGAAGTGAAGAGCTTGCTCGTGCTGCTAGCGACCAGGCAGAGCCTGCTAACAATGTTGGAACCAAAGCTGTGACAGGAGTTAATGGAAGTAACAGTGCGCCACGGGAGCTATCTTCTCAACAGAGTTCCACTCTTGTTTACGCTGATGAGTTTGACCCCTCAGTGACTATGTACAATCTAGTATGTTCACCTGGTGCTGGCTTGGCTAGTTTTTTTCCCAAACAAATGCCCTGTTTATTTGTGAAGGACCTTTATTTGTGCTAATGTATGCGTTTGAATTTTACAGGCAGTTTGCTGGTTTCATTTGCATGAACATGCAAAAGCATTTTCAATTTTGGAAGGATTGTTTCAGAACATTGAACCAATCGACGAGGTACACAATTACTGCAGATTCTGAAATATCGGAAATTCATATCCGATCATTGACTAATGAATTTGCACACAGGAAATAGCCAAGCGCATTTGCCTCTTGTTGTTGGATGTTGCATTACTTACTCAAAATGCAGCAAGATCGGCGGTAAGTCATGCATGCCCAACTGTTTGTTTCTCTTGAACTTTTTGTCTTTTGATCTTGTTACTGCTGTAACTTGTTAGGACCCATACAAAAGATAAAAAGGTAGTATAACTTGTCAGGAGTTTGTTTGACAAGCCTTTTCCTTCCATTAAATTTTATCAGTAAAACTCTCATTCTTGGAATGCAGCTCACATACGAAGCAACAAAAGCTACTAATGTAGAATATTATCCAGAGTTTTCGGCTGCGTTAAGTTCTCATAGTTCTTGATAGCATTCACGATAGTGGAAAAATATCGAACATATTCTACGGTTTGTAATAGATTCCAATTCAATGATATAAAGAATGAGACGATTAAGTAAAGATATGTTTTGATTGAAACTAACAGAATAATAGGTATTCAAAACGGAAAACCTTGTTAATATTCAAACAACAATTCAATTTTGGAAACCCAATTTGAGTTCTAATTTAACCCTACAAGCCCACATATAAAAACAAAGAACCTTAGAATTAGAATAGAAAACTGTTCAATTTTATAACCGAGAAATCTTAACCAGGAATCGAATTACCTTGCAAAGATCAAGAGTTGTTCAAAGAACAAAGGAGATGGGTTTTCCTATCCCAATAACGTCACAATTAGGAGTGGCAAACGGGCGGGTCGGGTCGGATATGGTTCGGGTTGAAAATGGGTAATGCTTATTAGTTGAGTGATGAGTTGATATTAGTTTAATCTCGTGTTTCACAGTGGATTACTTTGTCGTTTGTTTGGGCTGCCGAATCTTGTTAGTCAGCTATAGTTATTTGTTAGATAATCATGGGTAAAGTGGCTGGGGTCAGTTGGCTTCATTGGATAATTCAGGGGTAATTCAGGGGAAATGTAAGGGCAAAGTAGGGAGTTCAAATGATAAATCCTACAAGTGGAATGANTTGGGAGAATTTTTAGTCTCCCTAACTTGAGGAACCCCCAATTTGAGGCTTTACAAATGTAAAAGTTAGACTCATTGGTTATCCATTTTCTCAATGGATAATATGATTCTTATCCATAATTGACCCGTTTTTAAAAAGTTCATTATCCAACCCATTTTTTAGTGGATAATATGGGTGGTTAACTGTTTTCTTTTAACCATTTTGTCACCCCTAGTCACAATTATCACGAAAACTCATTTCTTAACTAGTGAAAAACTTTGGGTTTAAATAGGACTTGGAAATAATAAAAATAATTTCCATTAATATCCGTAAAGTAAAGTTTCAGTTTGCCTGAGCGGAACCATTCGCGCTGTAGCACAATTCAGCAAGTTTCATAAAACTACAATCTGTGCTGCAGCATAGTTTGCAGTTCAACCACAAATTAAATTGACATCCATTTTTGGTCCCTTTGGCCCCTCCAATGACTCTATTTCATCTCTCAATAATGTCACAAGCACATGAAAGTATTTGCAAGGTATTCCCAGGCGTTTGAGCTCCTCTTCAAGAAGAAAACACTTCTTGATCTTCACTTGCAAACCGACTAACTTCTCTTGGAGTTGCTTGGCATGCGATCTCGCGATAGGATGTTAGGGGTGACTTCTTTATAGCTGCCACGTGTCAGTGAGCCATCATTGGCGCTATCAGTTCTCCACCTTTTTTTCCTGTTCGTCTGGTGATGTCTCTTCTCGATCTGATTAAGAGAAATGAATTTAGACCTTGAAGCAGGTATTCCACAAAATCAGCTTGTTTTATTGAAGTATTTTTCCGGGTTTCCTTTTGAATATATAAAGCCAACCTGGTGATATCTTATTTTTCCAACCAAATATACATCTCCTAGCTGTAGTTCAATTGCGTACATGGCAAACCATTAAGTATGACTTATCGGTAGTTTCATTTTCATTAAGTTTTAAAGTGATATAATTTATTGGAGTGCTGAGGTAGAATGTTTTAAGATCAGTTTATCTCAGGACAGCATAAGTGGGATAGAATTATTTTCTTTCCTCATTTTGGTCTAAGGTAAGAAATACTGATGCTGTTGCAATTCCGCAGACCATAAAAATGTGACATCTAAAGCTTAAAAACTGCTTCCTATAGTTTTTAACGTTATATAAAGTGAATTCACACAGAAGTAGGTGATCTTACTAAAGGTTCCCGTAACAATTTCATGTCTTATCAGGAAAAAATAAACTAGAGGCCTCGTAACAACAAAAACAACAACAACAAGCCCAGAGTAATCCCACAAGTGGGGTTTAGGGGGTAGTGTGTACGCAGACCTTAGAAGGTAGAGAGGCTAGACCCTCGGCTCAAGAAAAGATAAAAAAAGAAGCAGTAGCAACCGTAACAACAAAAACAACAACAACAAGCCCCGTAAAAACAAAAACAACAACAACAAACCCAGAGTAATCCCACAAGTGGGGTTTAGGGGGGTAGTGTGTAAGCAGACCTTAGAAGGTAGAGAGGCTAGACCCTCGGCTCAAGAAAAGATAAAAAAAAGAAGCAATAGCAAGTAGCAACAACCAGTAACAACAACAAGATAATAAGAATCGAAGCGAAAGAAATATCAGGTAGTAAGTAATAGAAAAAATACAAGACTAACACTAATACTACTGGTACTGAAAAGAAAAGAAAAGAAAAGAAAAGTGCTCGACTACCTATTAATCTTCTACCCTAATTCTCGACCTCCACACCCTCCTATCAAGGGTCATTTCCTCGGTAAGCTGAAGCATCGCCTAATCATAGAGGTTCCCGTAACAATTTTAAAAAACAAAAACAGATTCGTTGTGAGATATTGCCATTTGCATTTGCGCAATTCTTTCGTTTTCTAAATAACAATGGTGTCTAGGCAGCTTACCTACATGTCAACTAATACATGATGTACATGCAATCTTCCGCCCCCATAAGTACGAGATAGTTCTGTTCTGTCAACTAAAGCTTACATAGAGGGAAACAATTCACCTAGTATCACCTCTACTAGGGTACTATTTGCATTTGTTGTATTTGTCTCCTGCATGATTAAGCTTTGGTTCTATATTTATCTATTTTGTTCGTTTTGAATAACTTCCAATTTTTTTTGTGTATGGGTGATTCTAGGCAGTTGTTGGGCAGTGAATGTTTGCTTCTTTTAATTATTGCTGGTTTTGATGTTTGTGACTTAAGGTTTAATGTGCTTCTATAAATATTGCTGACTTTGAACTTTTTGACTTATGGTTTAACGTCAGTAGTTTTGTCATGTAAGATGCCTTTCATGGTTTTTGACTTTGTTGTAGTCATGATTGTTCTATTTAAAGGTTGATTATTTGTTCAGACTCCATTTCTAGTTTTATTATTTCTAATAGCTAAATGAGGATTACCCATTTTATATACACGTGAAAAGGATGGTTGTTTTCCGTTTTTCCTCTTGCTGAGATGTTGCTGTACCGTTGCTGAGATGGTGGAATCATGTTGGAATCTCATGTTTGTTTTCAAGTGTGTTGCTTCTTTTCCATTTTGACTTTCTTTAGCATCCTTTTATCCTTGTACCAAATGGGTTAATTATGATTCTTGCTCCCAGGATGTGATCAGTTATGTGGAGAAGGTCTTTTGTAGCAGTAGTTTATTAAGTCAAGTTGACAACGGAAACTCTGCACAGCCAACAGCTTCATCCGTCGTGGTGAAATCGGCTTCATTTCCTAGCAATTCAACTATTCCTGATTCATCCAATCCAGATTCACCTGCTGCAGGAATTACCTCTGAAGGTTCTTTGTCTAGGACGTTATCAGAAGAGGGACTTGAAGATGATGCTCTTCATTTAATATCATCCATGGAGATTGGTGGGCAGAATTTACCACGACAGTCTGGCTTGAAATCGAAAAATGATCCAATAAGGAGTCAAACTGATGAATCTATCTCAACTGCTGATATGAGGATTAAACAGCACCTTTGCAAGGTCCGGTTTCTTCTCCTCACCAGGAATCTCAAGGCAGCTAAGCGTGAAGTTAAGATGGCTATGAACACAGCACGGGCGAAGGATCATTCTATGGCTCTCTATCTCAAGTCCCAGCTTGAATATGCTCGTGGGAATCATCGAAAAGCGATCAAGCTCTTGATGGCATCAAGTAATCGGACAGAAATGGGAATTTCTAGCATATACTACAACAATCTGGGGTGCATATACTATCGACTTGGCAAGCATCATACCTCTTCTGTACTTTTTGCCAAGGCTCTGAGTAATAGTTCCTCTCTCCGGAAAGAGCAGCCTCTAAAGCTCTCAACCATCTCACAGGATAAGTCTCTTCTCATAACATATAACTGTGGTGTGCAGTACCTGGCTTGTGGGAAACCATTACAAGCTGCAAGCTGTTTCTATAAGGCCACTCAAGTTTTCTATAATAGGCCTCTTTTATGGCTACGGATTGCAGAGTGTTGTCTGATGGCCCTTGAAAAGGGACTGCTCAAGGCCAGTGGTGCTGCTGCTTCTGACAGGTCTGAAGTTAAAGTTCATGTCGTTGGAAAAGGAAAATGGAGGCAACTTGTTATGGAAGATGGGATATTAAGAAATGGACAGGAATGTCTTTCAGGTACAGAAGATTTGGTGGTTAATGATAGACATCCTAAGCTGTCAGTATTACTGGCTCGTCAGTCTCTTCTGAATGCACTGCATCTATTGAACGGTTCTGAATCAAAAGGTCACAAGTCCATGCAGCCTCGTGCTTCTTGTCTGGAAGAAAGTGAAACAGGAGAAGCAGTACCATCCAAGAGTGCAAACAGTAAGAATGGGTCAATTGGTGACCCTAAGGCACTGAATGTGGCAGCATCAGGTCAGATTAATGCAAACGGGGAGGTGAAGGAGCAAAAGGGTGTGAGCAGTCAACATGCCTCATTATTGAGTTGTATCTGTGAGTATGAAGCCACTGGTAGAAAAGAGAGTCTGATGATTGAGCAAGCTGTATTGGCTGATTTGGCTTTTGTAGAGCTGGAATTGGGAAATCCATTGAGGGCCCTTACATATGCAAAATCTCTCTTGAAAGTCCAAGAATGTTCTAAAATATACATCTTTCTTGGCAATGTGTATGCAGCTGAGGCTCTGTGCTTGCTAAACCGGCCAAAAGAAGCCGTGGAACATTTGTCAACATATATTGCCGGTGGCAAGGGTGTTGATCTGCCGTTTAGTCAAGAGGATTCTGAAATGTGGAGACAGGAGAAAACATTGGATTCTGAAGATACTAATGGTGGATCAGCTACTTTGAATTCCTTTCCATCAGAGGAATCTCAAGCATTTGTGTTCCTCAAGCCAGAAGAGGCACGTGGAATGCTCTTTGCAAACTTAGCTGCCATGTCTGTGATGCAAGGAGACATTGAACAGGCCCAAAATTATGCAGTACAAGCACTTTCCACAAAACCTCAACGTCCTGAAGCTATTCTTACTGCAGTATACGTGGATCTTTTGCGAGGCAGAGCACAAGAAGCTCTCATCAAGTTGAAACACTGCAGTCGTATTAGGTTCCTACCAGGCAGTCCGACTTTAAATGGTTCATCTTGATGATTTGTATCGGTGGTTTTTACTGTTCTTGTCCAGCCCGCCTTTCACTAATGAGTTAGCAGGTAGTTCAGGAATCCCTTCATAGAGGATTTGTACCATATATATAGCTCAATTCAGGAATAAGTTTTTGTTTATTAAAATTTTCTGTTTTCCCTTTGAGTTACAGTCTTTAGGTTTTAGGAAGTCGTGGTGTGGCTGAGATTGTTTTGGTTATTGCAGATACCACCTATAAGATTAGAGATGTATTTTTCTTATAGAGAGCCACAATCTAGTTCCCATTCGAAATATCTAGAGGTTTTATGAGCTCTCAACTCTCAAGAAGATGAACCTTGAACCTTTCATTTCTTTCAGAAATTTATTTTAATACTCAACCAGTCTTGTTATGGCTTCATTGTTCAGCTGCAGTTACTTTGGATTTCTTTTTATGCCCTATGATCTATAATATTGTCCTGCTTGTGGGGAATGTATGAAAACAGATCTACTCCCCTGGCTTTTGCCCGCTGGAAGCCGATAGTTGAATGAAGGGTATTTTGGGTGGTGATTTAAGGGGTTTTTTCCTTTTAATTTCTATTACCTTGGGGATAGTGGAATGGAAATGGCTAAGGGGATAGTGAGAACTGAACAGATGTATTTTGTGGAGATTTCCGCTGATAACGCTAGACTTTAAGGTATGTGGTTGGGTTGAATTTGCAGCTATATATTCTTTGAAGTTACAGTAGAGCCTAGTATATGAGAACATCTGAATTTTGAGTTATCTTCATCCTGAAAGGCTTAGGTGTCTAAATCCTGATTCCTGACAAATAGGGATGACAATAGGGCAGATCTTTCCCATCAAAGTGTTGTACCACACAACCTCTTTAGCCTAATACTTTTGAATTTACACCCTCCTTTTTAGAGCCCGTTTGGACATAAGATTTTTTTTTTTTTTTTTTACTTTTTTTTTTCGAAATCAGTGTTTGGCCATAAATTTTTTAATTTTCACTTGAAGATGAATTTTGGAATTTTTCGAAAACCTGAAAAACTCCAAAAAGCCGTTTTTCAAAATTCACTTAGATCACTCATATAACTTCAAAAACAACCCAAAATTATATTCATGCCCAAACACAACTCTAATTTTCAAATATCATTTTCACTTTTTTTTTTTTTGGAAATTTACAATTCTTATGTCCAAACGCCCACTTAGTTTCGGTTTTTTACCCGGTGTTCGTTACTACTTTAGAAATCCCAATTAATCTGGATTTTGCCATATCAGACCCATTGAAAGGGGGTAGCAATCGGGTTTTTTTCATCCTGAGGGCTCGAACCGGATACCTACGGAGAGATTCTATTATTCCCATCACAAACCTTCCTTCACTTTATGAATTTTTTTCGGTGTAGCATTTAATATTGTTTTTTCAATGATATATTTTTCCATCATTTTAACTCTTTTTTAATAAACATATTAACTGTTTTTTTTTCTTATATCAGCTATCAAAAATATTGGATTTATTGACATGTCTAAATATCATTTAAAGGAGAGAACTAAGATCTCAATTTACTAGATAAGTAATAATCAATTTCCCTTATTACAACAACATCAACAACCCAGTAAAATTTCACAAGTGGGTCTTTATTTATAAAATTGAAAGAATTGAGAATGGTAAATTGAAATAAATAGGAAAAGATTGTGAAAATAGCACGAGCTAGCCAGTTTTCGGATTGGTAATTGAAAAATAGCCAGCGTTTGTAAAGTTATTGAAAAATAGCTACTATTTTGTTGCAACACGGAAAGTTCCAACATAATATACTGGAGATTGGTGAACCTATGTAATTTTCAGCATATTATGCTGTAACTCCAACACACGGAAAGTTCCAGCATAATATACTAGAAATTGGAGCACCTATGTATGAACTTCCAGCATATTATGCTGGACCAGTATATTATACTGGAACTACAGTATATTATGCTGGAATATTTTCCGGATTTTGAAAAGTATTTTCGTTCAGATTTATCTTTACATGAAAAATGGCTGAATTTCAATTACTTTTGAAACTGTGACTATTTTTCAATCACCACCTGTAAATCTGGCTATTTTTGAATTTCACCCCATAAGATTTGACTTCCATATTTTTTTTGTCAACGTTAGATTAGATTTATCAAATTTCCAAACATACATGGAATATATATATTTTTTAAGTTTAAGTCCTCTATACCCACGTTGTAAAATATTTAAACAATGAAATTACTTATTAGGTAGTCACAACTAAATCTCTTGATAAATATAAATGAAAGAATTACAGCCCATGTCACTTGGCCTAGTAGTCCAATCGTAAATGGCTCACATTTAAAGCTCTTACCCTATATAGCCCATGTTGTACATAACTTGAAAGAAACTTTTCAGTCTTTAGCCCACTATTAAAGACATACTTTTAGGGTTTTTATTATTTTCTTCTTTCTTCATTCCCTTCTCTCTCTCACCGCCTCTCACTTCTTTCTCTCTAACCCACATAGATCCCTCATCCTCTCTTAACCTAGCCCCCGCTATTCCCCTCCTTTACCCCCTACGCAGTTCTGCCATTAATGACTCGAAGAAGGCTCGAAGAAAGACTCCGTCGTCCATGGTGGCAAGCAGAAGAACGAAGAAGATTTTTAAAAGAAACATGAAAATACACACAGATCTGAAAGTAAATAGCTCTCAAACTTGATTTGCACCAACAAACAACCACTAATTTTGGAGGATTTTGAAGTTTGAAGTTCTGGTAATTTTGGAAGATTCTGAAGTTTGAAGTTTGAAGTTCTGGAAAATCATAACTATGTAGCAGGTTGTATCGACACTGTATAATAGTGTATAATTGTGTATATGGGTATACAGACACCTCTTATACACTATTATACATGTTTATACAAGTTATACAACATTGTATAATTGTGTATAAATGTGTATATTTGTGTATAATATTGTATAAATATATATTTTTTCAGTTTATAAGGATGTATATACATTGTTAGCGTGTAAGAGGTCTCTACAGAAGTTTGACACTTCCTTCTCTTCTTCTTTTTCGTGTATGTGCTATATGAAACAGATTTGTACGCGTTGGAGGAATTCTGCAATTCATTTATCCATTTTTTATTTTTCTTTTATCCTGTTGGATTGCTTCAGCAATTGCACATAAAGGTGTTTGAATTTCTTACCTTCAGATAATATGTTGATTGTGTGAAATAAGCTATTTTTTCGGAAATTAGCCTATTATTTTTGGGCTATAGATTTGCAATGTGATATCTAGGCTATTATGTTGCAAGTCAGGTGTGTGAGTCGTACTTATGTGAAATTATCCCAATATAAATTGTAAATATAGTAAAAGTGATAATTAACTTAAAACATATGTTAAAACGGAAAAAACTGTAATATTTACAAGTTAAATATATTTTTTCACCTCTCTTTTCCAATCCCATGAGTACTAGGAATTTCATACCAGAATCCAACTGAATATGGTCTTAATTACGTACTCCTATACCTGTCCTAATTAGGATTGGATTCCCTACAATCCCAACATGGTGCCTATATATATACCCTTTAATAGGAGACATATTTCTCATTGTAATAAAAATCAGTCTCTTTTTTATTCTTTAGAACAAAACAAGGGATTTTTTTTTCTCAAGAATTAAATATGAAGGTGATCGCAGCCTATTTGTTGGCTCAATTGGGTGGCAACACTAATCCTTCAGCTGATGATTTAAGGAAAATCTTGAATTCTGTTGGAGCTGAGATTGATGAGTCGAAAATCGAACTATTATTGTCACAAGTCAAAGGCAAAGATATTACTGAGTTAATTGCCGCTGGTAAACAACAGTTGGCTTCTACTTCTATGGCTTTTGGATGTGGTGCTGCTTCTTCTGTTGTCAATGGCGCTGAAAATAATGTTGCTGAAGTTGCTGTTGAAGAGAAAAAAGAGGAAAAGAAAGTTGAGGTGAAGGAAGAGTCTGATGAAGAAGATTTTAATTTTAGTCTCTTTGATTAGAATAGTTTTATATTGCTATTGGTGGAACCATCTTCGTTAGTCATGTTGTCTTATATTTAAGTGTAGTTTGCTGTTATTTTATGCAGTACGTAGTTTGCTGCTTTTAGCTCTCTTTAGGTTGAAAGTTCTTTAACAACTTCTCTAGTAAAGCTGCAAAACACAATCACTTTCTAATTCATTTTTTTTGGTAATTAAATAATTTTATTTATCAAGTATAAGTATTTACAGTCTAAACAAATGTGAGTCTGTCTTCTACCTTTGCTCCTGCTGGACATAAAGCCCCAGCTAGTATTTTCCTATCCTTTCTACTCATCCTCATCTACACCTCTTCTCAATTATAGTATATTAGGATACCAGTTTAACGTATTCATGACTCTATCTAGACTAGGAAACATATTAGCTCTAACATGTATTTCCTGAATGATTAATCTCAGTATGACTTTAGCATTTCTTCTATTCTACTGAAAAATAGCATTGTTCCTCTCCTGCCAAAGATGGTATACTGCTGCTGCTATTGACATTCTACATATTGCTGCCCCTCCACTTCTGCCTTTAGGTCTTCTTTCTATCCACATCAACTCTTCCTTCCAGTCAAGCTTTGGTCTTTGAATGCCTTGCCATTTTAAGAGTTGCTGCCATTTCACATTCAAAGAATAGATGTTGTACTATTTCATTCTCTTTTTGACATAGTGAGCATGTGGTGTCTATATTTATCCCCCATCTTGCTAGCATTGCTTTTGTGGCTAGTCTCTCCTGTATTGCCAATCTCAGAATAAAGATCCATTTTGGTAATCCATGGTTATTGCAGACTAGTTTCCTCCGTGAGACCTTCTGAAACTCCCCTTGCATTGCTTTGTATATGTGTCTTATAGAGAAGTTGTCCATCCTATTCACCTCATCTTCTGTATATCCAGCAGCTTCAAAGTAGTTTCTTGCCTTGAGGATCTGTTGGATGACCCACGATGCATTCCTTGGTTCTGCGTTCCATACAGTATTCCCCTTTATGTAGTATGCATGAACCCATTGAACCCAAATCTTTTCCTTCTTTTTACATATGTTCCACAGAAGTTTGCATATAGTTACTTTGTTCCACAGCTCCACATTCATAAAATTTAGACCGCCTGCTACCTTTGGAGAGCATAGCTTTTCCCATGCAATCAGTGCCTTCTTGGTAGGTTCAACATTTCCTAACCATAAGAATCTTTTGCAAATTGTGTCTATGAACTGAATGATCTTCTTAGGCAGAATGAAAATCTGAGCCCAGAATGTTTGAATTGCAACCAACACACTTTTGATTAACATTGCTCTGCCTGCATATGACAAGAATTTTGTTGTCCAGCATTGTACCCTACTCAGCATTCGATCAATTAATGGCTCACACTGAATAGCTGATATCCTCTTTGTGCTCAAGGGTACTCCTAAATATCTGAAGGGTAATTCTCCCTTATTATATCCCAGCATATCCATAGTTTGCTTTTGAGTCATGATATCCACTCCTCCACAGTAAATGCAACTTTTGTTTGGGTTTGCAATTAACCCTGAAACTGCAGGGAAAGCTTGGAATTGTTGGTGCAGCACCCTTACCGAATGTATGTCCCATCTGCAAAAAAGTAACAGATCATCAGCAAATCCTAAGCGCACTAGACTGACTTTGGCACACTTTGGATGGAATTTGAATTCTTTGTTCTCCTTCAATGGCTTCAACAGCCTACTCAGATATTCCATTGCCATCACAAATAGTAATGGAGAAAGAGGATCTCCCTGCCTAAGCCCTTTTCTTGCCTCAAAAGGCTTTGCTGGTTGCCCATTGATTGTAACTGAATAGGCCACTGTACTAATGCACACCATTATCCATTTTACAAATCTCTCAGGGAACCCCAATAGCTTCATCACTTGCTCAATATATACCCATTGAAACGGAGTCATATGCTTTCTGCATATCAATTTTAAGCATACATCATGGTGATATATTCTTCCTCCCATACCCTTTGACCAATTCATGACTCATAATAATGTTGTCAGTAATCAATCTACCAGGTACAAAAACTGTTTGGCACTTGTTTATGAGATCTGTCTTAGCTTCCTGTAGTCTTGCTGTTAGGATTTTTGATATTATCTTGTATAACACTGTGCAACAAGAGATAGGCTTGAACTCCTTGATGGTGGTTGGGTTCTTTACTTTAGGTATCGGGGTAATAGTGGTGCAATTGATGGCTTTGCACATTTCAGTAGTTTCAAAGAATTCCATTACTACTGTAGTAACATCCTCCCCAATTGTGTTCCATGTCCTCTTGAAAAAGATATGAATTATATCCATCACATCCTGGTGCCTTGCTATCATCAATGCCATGTAAAACTTTCTTCACTTCCACTTTAGTGATTGGCTTGATTAACTGCAGTTTTTGTTGCCTGTTCAGGGTGTATCCATTATGCATAATTTCTGGATCAACTACTGGTAATTGTGGAGCTGCCGTACCAAGTAGTTTTTTGTAGAAGCTTAGGATCTCCTCTTCTACTTCAGATTTACTTTGTAGAATTTGCCCTGCACTATCCATCAATCTGCCTATATGGTTCCTTGCCTGCCTGTTTTTCACACAAGCATGAAAGTATGCTGTGTTAGAATCCCCTAGCTTGAGCCATTTGATTCTTGACTTCTGTCTCACAATACTTTCCTCCACTTCCAACCATTTTTCCTATTCAAATTTAGCCTCCTTCTCTTGTACTATTGCTTCATTATCATTTCCTGGAAGTGTCATTCCCATTTGAATGTTCTCAAGTTTGTTCCTTTCTGCTTGAATCTTGTGACCAACACTGTTATACTCTTGATTGTTTAGTTCCTTTAGATCTCCTTTCAACTTTTTGAGCTTATTCCACACACTCAGCATTGCAGCTCCCCTTTGCCTCATTCTCCAGCATTGATTGACTATATCATCAAAGTCATGATGTGCTGCTAAACAGTTGAAAAATTTGAAAGGTCGCTTTCCCTCCATCACAATATCAACAATAGTTACTTTTAGAGGACAATGGTCTGAAAATCCTGGATTCATAATGATCCCCTCCATGGTAGGCCATTTTTGTATCCACTCTGCATTGACAAGTATTCTATCAATTCTACTATGAACATGATTGTTTGTCCATGTGTACTTTCTTCCCATTGTTTTGAGCTCATCTAGTCCAACATTTATAAATGATAAAAAATGCATATTTTTGAGTACGTTTGCATATTATTTCTTATGTTAGTTCCGGGAGATTACATGTTTATAAACATATAATATGCTCATTTCATATTTATTGTGTGTAGGAATGAATTTGGATGGAAGTTGGCGAGAATTGGATGATTTGATGCAAAAAGAGTAGAGATGCAAGACCTGGAAGCGTGCCATAATTGGTGCATTGCATGAAGGTAGGCGCGAAATGGCCTAGGAGATTAACAAAAAACAACGAAGTATGGAGGTTAGCACTAGACCTGGCACGCGAAAGAACAAAGAAGAAAAAAAGAAATAACTGGGAGCGTGCCAGAAGTTGCGCGTTGCACCAACTCTGGCACGCGACTCAGCGTGTCCTTTTTGAATTAGGAGAGCTCAAGGACGCCCCACATCAACCCTAATTGATATAAATACATCATAAAATGTCTTTTTAAAAGGGGGAGACACAACTTTAGGGTAAGACAACACCCAAGGAGGCGAGAACATACTGTGAGCAAGGAGGAAGATTCAACCACGAGTTTTTCCCCTTCTTCTTCCTATTTTTATTGTTGGTTATGAATTTGAGTATTGTGTTTTCACATACTTTTATGAATAGCTAATTTATTATCTAGAGTTTTGGTGGAACCTCTTGGAGGATGAACTCCTGTTATATTTTAATATAATTTAACCTTTGGATTTATCTACTTGTTCAACTATGTGCTTATTTCAGTTGATTGAATGGCCATCAATTGACTATGCCTATTTAGTATGTGTTGCTTGAGAAAGGATATATATTTAGGTGGTTGTTGAACAACGTCACTCCTAAGGTATATGAGAGATCAATACGGCAGGTTTGAAAGCAGGATTAGAGATAACGAAGCTTTGACGTGATCCTAGTGAGCGGTGAAAAAGTGCGAGCTAGCGTAGTTCGAGAGAATACGACTAGTACATTATTGTAGTTGCTCGAGAGAGAATTACGATAAGTCGAGTGCTCATGCTCAGTAGAGAATACTTAGGCAAAATTATAGGAGAGGTAGCAGGAAAGATTCCGACAATTGGGAAAATCATAACTGTAGGCCTCCTTAATCTTGTCTCCAACCCTTAGTATCTTTAGTTGCTGTTACTATTTTAATTTGTTACTTAGTTAGTTAGATAGAAAAATCTTAATATTTATAACTTAGGAATTTATTCAAGCTTGTCTTCTTAGTGATATTGAACAGTTATAGCGAAACCTTAGTTCTCTGCGGGATTCGACTCTAGACTCTTAGACCAGATTATATTTGCAGCGACCGCTTATCCTTTTTAGGACTAGAGTTGGGCGTGATCAAATTTTGGCATCGTTGCCGGGGAACTAACGGTGTAGCTGTAGGTGTACATATTGCTAGGTTTCAAATTTGAACTTTTATTTTTATTTTTTGTATTTGATTTTTTTTTAATTTTTGTTTTACTTGTTTATTTTAAAAACATGGCATCTTGGAATTATGAGAGTTTTGATGTTGGTAATTCTACTTTTAATCTTCCTTATGCATATTGTGTAGAAAACCACCCATGGAAAAATTATCAAAATATTCTCGAGAGCGAGTAATGTGCACCAACTCAATCTTATGCGTGGAATGTATGTGATATGTGTGGTGGTCAAGATGGTCACTTTTATGGTTGTGCTTATATTTCTTATCTTCCCTCTACCCCTTACTTTGATGGTTCTTCTTTTTCTTGTGAAGTTAATAGGATTAAAGAACCCGGGGATGATAACCTAAAAGAGATCAAGGATATTCTAAGGTGCCTTATGGAACAAAATAATGAGAAACAACTGCA